GTTTCACCATGTTGACCAGGATGGTCTCGATGTCTTGACCTCGTGATCCACCCGCCTCGGCCTCCCAAAGTGCTGGGATTACAGGCTTGAGCCACCGTGCCCGGCCAGGTTTATGATTTCTATCTTTGGTATAGACATCATCTCTTGCCTAGAATTGTAGCGGTAACCTTGGTTATGCTTTTTCCTATTCGTGTTCCACAATGTTGTCTGCTGTGGATTGAAATGTGTCCTCCAAAAAGATATGCTGACGTCCTAACCTCCAGTACCTGTGAATGTGACCTCATTTGGAAATATGGGCTTTGTAGATGTAATCAAGTTAAGATGAAGTTATACTGGAATGGGCAGGCTATTAAAGCAGTATGAATGGCACACTTTCAAAATGAGAAATGACGAAATGACACAGAGACAGACTCTCAGAAAGGAGAAGATCATGTGAAGACACAGACACACAGATGAATGAGAGCTAAGTGACGACACAAGCAGAGATAGAGTTATGCAGCTGCAAGCCAAGTAATGCCAAAGTTTGTCAGTAACAACCAGAAGCTAGAAGAGCATGGCCCTGGCAACACGCTGATTTTGGACATCTAGCCTCCCTACTTATGAGACAGTAAGTGTCTATTGTATTAAACTACCAATTTTGTGAAACCTTTTTTTTTTTTTACAGTAGCCCTAAACTGCCAGGGAGATTTTTTAAAAAAACATGTAATATGACTCACCTCCTGAAAATGCTTCAATAGGGAACCAAATTCTTTTAGCACGGTATGCAAGGCCCTTTATAAATGTAAACCTACCTGGCTTTAACTACTTTAAACTCACTTTCATAAAGCCTTTTGGGCTGTAGCTTTCTCATACTTCCATTCGACTACAGAGTTCTCTACTCTAGCTCAGTGGTTCAAAACTGATGGCAATATCATCCTTACCCCCATCCCAGGGACCTTTAGTAATGTCTGTAAATATTTTGGTTGTCATGACTTTGGAGGGAAGGGGTGCTACTATTATCTTGTGTATACAGGCCAGGGATCCTACAATGCTCAACACAGCCCATACCACAAATTATTATTTGGCCCAAAGTGTCAATACCAAGGTTGATAAATCTTGGTCTAGCTAAAACCATTCAACTGTTAACAGTAATTTATCTATTACCCTTTTGATGAGTTCTTCTCTGTCATTCCCCTGCCATTTGTCATTCCTACCACAGCATTTTTTATATGGTCCAAATACAGGACTTACTGCATTGTGAGAATGTGCAAATGTTTGTTGGTGGAGGTGACCATTATCTTTGTATTTCAGGCAACAGCATAGAGACTAAAGAACAGCATTAAGTAAAAGTAGCACACCTAAAACCAGTTGGCATGAGATGCTAACATCTGTGCTAACATAGATAAAACCAGAGACCTATAGTCCACAAAGAAAAGAAAAAACAAGTACTTAGGAATAAAATCGGATTACTGTACCTATAGTTCCCAATATGGATCATCAAGGCAGTGCTTATCTTTTCAGTTTTTTTTGGAGGCGATGGGGGAGGTGGTTGGTTTACAGACTCTTCAACCTAAAGAAAACACAGAACTTCTTTCCAGCAAAATGTTCATAGACGCAAAATTTTACATTCAATTTCAGCAGAGTTCATAGACTCAAAGGCCATCCAAGAATGCCAGGAGGTTAAAAACAAACAAACAAACAAACAAATTCTATTTAGAGAGTGTGTACAGAAAAGGAAGGGAATTTGAAAATTATTTTAAAAGTTAGACAAGGCCAGAAACAACAGGATAGGGAGTAAACTACAGATTAGAAGAACTAAGGAGCAAAATATATAGTTAAATATAGCAATTAACATCAGGGGTCAAGTTCACTGATGATGACTTTACAGAAAAGTGGAGGAATTTGCTAGAATAGTGAGATTTGGGTGAAGATTGAATTTGAGGAGGATGCTGAAATTTTGTTGAGAAAGGGTAATCAATTTGGTTTGAACAAATTATCTATTTGTTTCTGTTTGAATACATTATAATTTAAGATAACTTATTTTAAAATTCTTAGTTCATTTTAAAATAATTTTTTTTTTTTTTTTTTGACGGAGTTTCGCTCTTGTTACCCAGGCTGGAGTGCAATGGCACGATCGCGGCTCACCGCAACCTCCGCCTCCCGGGTTCAGGCAATTCTCCTGCCTCAGCCTCCTGAGTAGCTGGGATTACAGGCACACACCACCATGCCCAGCTAATTTTTTGTATTTTTAGTAGAGACGGGGTTTCACCATGTTGACCAGGATGGTCTCGATCTGTTGACCTCGTGATCCACCCGCCTCGGCCTCCCAAAGTGCTGGGATTACAGGCTTGAGCCACCGCGCCCGGCTAAAATAATTTTTTAAATCAATTACAATTTAACAAACAAACTTACATTTTCTTAAAATAGCTACTTATGGTTTAATGCTAAAAACTTAAAGATCATTATATGGGACATAAATTCTAACTGTTTAGAATGTGATGTTATATGGTGAAAGTCTTACCATGCTTTCTTGCAAATCTCCTTTGAGCCAAGGTTCATTTTTAACTACTGAACAACTGGCCATCCATTATTGGGCAATCCTCATCCATAATGGCTATAAAATATTTATTATTATTATTAATATTATTTAGGGACAGGGTCTCACTGTGTTGCTCAGGCTTGAGAGCAGTGTCTATTCACAGGTGCAATCCCATTGCTCACCAGTACAGAAGGCTATAAAATATTTTAATGTGAAGGGCGCAGCATTCAAGAACTTTATAGTGTTGACGTGGCATTAAAGTCTCAATAGCGACACTGATGAAAGGCAGCTAATTTTCAGGTTTGTTGATTTTTTAAACCAAATGAGCCAACAGGTCTTGTCCATTGCCCATCTTGATTATTCTATTTAGTGGCTAATTTTCCATTTTGTAGTCTTTTCCCTCTCTAACCAGCTAGTTTTTGAGAATTACAACTTACAAATAAATAAGTGCAAAATTACTCCACTATGTACTTTCCTCTTAGTTTTGTACATACATGTCTGTATTGTTGGTAAGCACTGTGTAAATATAGACTGATTTTTACATTTTCCTTTTACATTTTAATGCTTGTTATCTCAAATTGCATTAGCTGAAAGTTTTAATTAACATCTATGACATTTTACATTTCACAACAGAAATTCAAAACATGTATACATTTGCTAAAACAATGACTGCTACGTAAATATACTCAAAGGAACTAATAAGAACAGAAACGTTTTTAAAGGTGGCGGTGGCAGTCAAAGCAGCCTGACAAAAATTACTCATTACTAACCAGAGTTTTGGAAATGGGGCCCCTCCCAGAGTTCCTCGTTGGCTAACTTCAGTTTGCTTTAGCAAATGAAATAGGCATTCTGATAATGTTGAATTCTGTATTGCCGATATTAAAAAAAAAAAAAAAAACCTTTTGTACAATTATCCAGTCAATACACCACCAGTTTCTTAACACACTAAAGAAAGCAGAGAAACAGCAAAAATGGATTTTTGTGGATAACTGCGGCTTCCAAAAGCAAAATACCTCTTTTTTAAAAAACGAGAATTTTTTTGTGACCGAAACGCAAAATAGTGCTAAGTGAAAACAATTCAGACCCTGGAAATAGTTGGATAAAAAATAACACGGGGGGCAGTTTCCCATTTTAAAATAAATACGATCGACTACAAAATCATACCAGAAAACGATTAGCTATGAAGAAAGCGAACCTTCATAAAAAGTGTTCCCTCGCAAAAAGTTCTAGGGCAATTCGCGGGCACTTACTCTGCCTACACCCGACTAAGGCGTCAGAATCGTTCCCCGGCGCCGACCACCGCACAGGCCCCACTCCGGACCCCTCAGGCCCGTCCTCGGCTGCGGCCTGATCCAGCCACAAAGCACCCACTTTCCTCCGGCCCAGGGCCCGACCGTACTCACTGTGAGCTGCAGAGGCGGCTCGGCGTGGGCAAGGGAGGCTGCAAAAGGTAAACAGACAGGGAAGGACGTCGGGGACAAAAGGGGACGAGAATTGTACTCGGACCTGCCCCTGCGGCCACTAACTTCCCAAATCAGCGGAGGCACAACACCGGCCAGCATGCATCTTGCCCCAAAGGCACTTCCGGAAGCTCTCTAGGAGTCCTGGAGGTCTAAAAGCTCTATGGTCGGGCAACTGAGGGTACCGGAGGACCACGCCCCTCACCTGCGGTGTGCTGGGCCTAGGGTTCCTCTCGCGTCTGCATGCCTCAGGGTTGCGCGGTCGCTGGGGCAGTGGACGTGCTGGGCAATAACGGACTTCGGTGTTCCCTCCGCCTTGTGTGTCCGTGCAGCTCTGCGCGTTTGCTGGCAATAGTAACGGTCACCTGGGGGCCGATATCCGACGTGAGAAGGCCGGAGCTGTGAACAGGCGGCTGGGCAGGTGTTGGTGGAGGAGCACTTCGTGAATCGTTAGGATGCTAACGACTCGCGTTTGTACGTACCCTGTACTTTACTGTTCTCGACTCATAAACATATCTAGCCCTCCCACATAGACTCCAAACTTCGTGAGGAATTCCTGCTCTTCACAGTTCATAGTTTTGTGAAATCTCTGTGGCATGGTACTTGCCATGGTACCTGTTGCATTAGAGCTTTTAACTTTTGAGACTAACAGGATTTCAGGGATGGAGGTTGTGGGAGGTGTTATTTTTTGTTGTTTAGGCCCCACGTATTTATTTACTTGAACGCTTTTCCCGACCACCTATTTATTATCAGGGCTCCTCCAATTTTCACCTTAATATCTCTCTTTATCTGCTCCT